TTAATAATTTATATAAAAAAATAGAGGTTTAATAAATAATTTAAGTGAAGGTTTAATAAAAAATAATTTGAGCAAAGATTTAATAATTATATAAAAAAATAGAGGTTTAATAAGTAATTTAAGTAAAAGTTTAATAAAAAATAATTTAAATAAAGGTTTAATAATTAATTTGAGCAAAGGTTTAGTAAGTAAAGACTTTGTAAGTTATATAAAAAAATAATTTGAGTAAAGATTAATTTGAGCGAAGGTTTAATAATTTATATAAAAAAATAGAGATTTAATAAGTAATTTAAGTGAAGGCTCAAAAAAAAGCAAAGATATAATAATTAATTTGAACAAAGATTTAGTAAGTAAAGGCTTAGTAAGTTAATAAAAAATAATTTGATCAAAGGTTTAATATTTTATATAAAAAAATAGAAGTTTAATAAGTAATTTAAGTGATAGTTCAATAAAAAATAATTTGAGCAAAGGTTTAATAATTAATTTGAGCAAAAGTTTAGTGAGTAAAGGCTTAGTAAGTTATATAAAAAAATAATTTGAGTGAAGGTTTAATAATTTATATAAAAAAATAGAGATTTAATAAGTAATTTAAGCAAAGGTTTAATAAAAAAATAATTTGAGCAAAAATATAATAATTAATTTGAGCAAAGGTTTAGTAAGTTAGGGCTTAATAAGTTAATAAAAAATAATTTGAATAAAGGTTTAATAATTTATATAAAAAAAAATAGAGATTTAATAAGTAATTTAAGCAAAGGCTCATTAAAAAAATAATTTGAGCAAAGGTTTAATAATTAATTTGAGCAAAGATTTAGTAAGTAAAGGCTTAGTAAGTTATATAAAAAAATAATTTGAGTGAAGCTTTAATAATTTATATAAAAAAATAGATGTTTAATAAGTAATTTAAATGAAGGTTTAATAAAAAATAATTTGAGCTAAAATATAATAATTAATTTGAGCAAAGATTTAATAAATAAAGGCTTAGTAAGTTAATAAAAAATAATTTGAGTGAAGGTTTAATAATTTATATAAAAAAATTGAGATTTAATAAGTAATTTAAGTGAAGGCTTATTAAAAAATAATTTGAGCAAAAGTTTAATAATTAATTTGAGTAAAGGTTTAGTAAGTAAAGGCTTAGTAAATTATATAAAAAAATAATTTGAGTGAAGGTTTAATAATTTATATAAAAAAATTGAGGTTTAATAAGTAATTTAAGTAAAGGTTTAATAAAAAATAATTTGAGCAAAGATTTAATAAGTAAAGGCTTAGTAAGTTATATAAAAAATAGTTTAAGTAAAGGTTAATTTGAGCAAAGGTTTAATAATTTATATAAAAAAATAGAGGTTTAATAAGTAATTTAAGCAAAGGTTTAATAAAATAATTTAAAAAAAGGTTTAATAATTAATTTGAGCAAAGGTTTAGTAAGTAAAAGCTTAGTAAGTTATATAAAAAAATAATTTGAGCAAAGGTTTAATAATTATATAAAAAATAGAGGTTTAATAAGTAATTTAAGTGAAGGTTCAATAAAAAATAATTTGAGTAAAGCTTATTAAATAATTTGAGTAAAGATTCTAAGCAAAGGTTTAATAAGTAAGTAATTTGAACAAAGGTTAAGTTATCTGAGCAAAGGTTTAGTAATTTGAGTAAAAGTTCAGTAAGTTATATAAAAAAATTATTTAAGCAAAAGCAAAAAAAAATTCAATAAGTAATTTGAGTAAAAGTTTGTCAAACCTGAATATATTTGTAAACTTTTAGATTTAAACTCAAATCAAATCAAAGTTTATTAAAAAGTTTGTTTTTAATCTGATTCAAATATTTTTTTTAAAATAGTTTGAGTTCAGGTTTGACTTGAAAATCAAACCAGATTCAAACCTGGTTCAAAGTTTGATTCAATCCGATTTGATAGAAACCCTACTATTTAGTTTATAATATTTTGTAAATTTTCATAAAATTATAAAATTACAAAAAATATAAATCAAGATGATTAATATAGATTAATTTAAAAACATTAAAAAAAAGAAGTTTGGCAATATAAAATATCAATATACAATATAAGATGTTGCTATATTACATGATTTTATTTTATTATACTTTTTGTAATATTGAATTTGGTTTATAAGTTGATTAAATTAAAATTTATTTTTATATCTTTATAATGTTTTGTAAATATTCATATTTTTCTTAAGATTAAACCTCAAACATTTTAAAATTTTTAAATACTTTTGAAAACTTTTAAAAATTTTTTTGATATGTAAAAAAATCATAAAAATATATAAATTTTAATATAAAACTACATAAGACTTTTGATACATAAAATTGTAAAATTACAAAAAAAATTTACATAAATTTATGAGTTCTTATGTACTGAAAATCTTAAATAGTTTTATATTAAATTTTACATATTTTTACAATTTTCTTACATACCATAAAAACTTTCAAGAGTTTAACATATATTTTTGCTGATGATAATACTGTAAAACGGATATCCGAATAAATTCAGATTCAGATATTCGATTGATAAACGGATAATGGAAAGGATATGAACACTATTCTGATGATATATTTATTGTCATAATATAACGATAAGAAAATAGAATTTATAGATCACTTATTTCAAAACAAATACGTCACTATATTTATTCGAAATCGAAAATCTGATCATTACGATTAATCCTGAATCGCAATTCTTAAATGTGTGCCAGATTGGTGACGCATTAATCAGCAAAAGTAACTTGGCAATTAAAAAATTCTAATAACAATACGTACTAAAATTATAAGTTTTAATAAAACGCAAACCATTTTTTTAATGTTATTTTATTCGAATCAAATGTTCTTGATATTTTTTTAAATAAAGTACGTTTCTTTCATTTTTTCATAACCTTTAACTTCTTATATTATCGTTTTGAATTCAAAAGAAAATTTTTTGTAATGTTTATAAATTATATATTTCAAAATTTTTTACAGGCCAGAATGATGACAACTTGTCAAAGTTTAACATAATACGAGTACAAAAAAAACATTTAACTTAAAAAGTATTACAATAAATCTCAAATAAACACAATAAGTTAGCTAATAAACACGTAGTATAGTTTATAAAAAAAAAAATTTTTTTAAATGAAAAAATTTTTTTATATGGGGTCTTTGCCTTGAAAATGACCTTACGGTATCATGTACCGTAAGGTCATTTTCAAGGCAAAGACCCCATATTCTACGCTGAATCGTATTTTAAAAAAAGAATAATAAGTGTTTTTTATTGTTAAGAGGTTTCACCTTTAAAACTAAATTTATATGCTTTGTTAATTTTAAATACTTTCGAAATTACTGTGATATACTCTACTTACATATTAAGTACTCTCTTTATAATGAACCTGAAGTTTTCAATCACAAAGAAATTTTAGGAATACTGAAATAAAAGAGATAATTGCGGCTGATTATGATTCATAATAACTGTGACTTATAATTATGATGTTTGAAAACGTCTTTTTGGATGTTTGGAGTGGCTATGCGCATTGTTTGTCATAAATACCGATAAGTAAATAAATAAAGCTTTTCAAAGTTCATGAAATATTAATAACACACGCTTGTTTTTATGTTTGATTAAATTGTGCCACAATAAATATTATGCGACATGCTATATTATATAACTACAATAATGTAAGCTGGATTTTGATTTTTTTCGAAAAAAAATGAGTGAGCCAAGTAAGCCGGAAGAATCAATATCAATACCATTATTATCAGAGAACGAAATTAAAATTCAAGTTAAAAATATTCCACATGATGGATACGAAATAACTCGGATTGTTTGCTCACCAAATGTGAAATATGTCGCAACTTGGAGCAAATATGATAAATCAATTTGCGGGTGGTCAGTTATAGAAGGACAACATCAACTCAAAGTTGACAACTCACTTACTTTCCAAGATCTTAATAATATACCGGTTCTTGTTACTAGCAATGATCTTAGGAATGTACCATCTCATGTTATAAATTATGTTGACGACTTTATGGTTAACTACTCTTTAATCGGTGTCTCTGATAATAAACATATTATTTTAGGATGGCAAAGACATTGTTATGTTGGTAAGTTTATCTTAATTATTATTTTAATAATTAATCATGCGCATATTGCAGTATTAGCAAATTAATAATTGTTTAATATTTCTAAATTAATTAATAGAGGAATATAAAGATACCTTTTATTTCGATGAAATATATGGAGTCATTGATCTTAAAACAAAGCTATTGCAAAAGTTTAACGTTCAAGGTTTAAGAGGACAATCTATCTATGAAAATATTCGTTTTCTTGAAAATGGAAATTTAGCCATTATCAAAGGAGATCCTATATATCGTGCTTACATTTTTTCACTCACCAACTCTAATGATGAATATCAGTGGAAATGCATAAATGTTATCAATCTTATAAATTTCTATAAATGTTTCATTCTTCCAAAAGGAAAATTATTATTTCTCACAGAGATACCTTTTGTAATTACGCAATGGGATTTGGAATCTCTAAAATTCGAATCTCAATATGTATTAGATTTGAATATGTTTAAAGATAAAGATTATATAGATTTGCAATTGAACTTTGATAACACATTATTAGTTGTATTTAATCGAAAACAGGATGCTATTAATGTTTATTCAACAAGTTCAAGTATAATGTTATCGAAATGTAAGTAATTTTCTGCATATAGTTACTGTATACATATTTTCTCAATTTTTTATATTTTTTTTAACGTTGCAGATGTATTCAATGATGCCAATACGTATGGTATAGTTGATGTAAATTTTATTTCATCAAAGAGACAAGAACGCTTGCTTATTAAATTTTATAACATTTCCTATCTTATGGTTCCACACTTTTGTAACATTCCGATAAATGCAAGAAAGTTATTTCAACTTAGATTAGATGATACATCAGAAAAATACCTATATCCTAATGTTATTATCTCTGATTTTATTGTGGGTGTTTGGGACAACAAAGTATGGATTCAATCTTTGGTTAAAGATGCTAAAGAATGGATTGATTATTTACGTAAAGAGCTCAATGACTATAATAGAATTAGTGTACATTTTTGTGCTAAAGAAATAGAATTAACGATAAAAAGCACTTTGGCAAGGGCTAAATCTTGTTTAGATGATAATCTAACTAAAGTCATTAAAAAAAAAAGTTATTATAATGGGTATTTATTTACTTGGATTGTTGAAGAAACTGATGAAAATACTTTTCTAACAGCTTGGAAGTTTGATCATGAAGCTTTAGTGTGGAACAAAGTTGGAAATAAGATACAAACTTTTCTATCTGAACTTAAATTGCTTACTAGTGAAGATATAATGGCAATTTCTCAAAAAGGTATATATATTTGGACTGCAGATATTGGAAATGAAATCAAGTTACTTTTTTATTGGGGCTCTATTCGACTCGTTAAACCTAAAACTCATTATGAATTAATTTATGATCAGCTTAATTTTCTTAACAAAAGATTGGTGTTTTCTAAAAATTCTTTACCTCCTCCAAGTTTTAGTCAATTAATTTCTCATCCATCGTTCGATTGTTATATGGATACAAATACTAGAACATGGTTTTTATTTGAAGATTTATTAGATTACTACATGAATGATATGTTCTGTTTATCATTATATGGAATAATTATGATCCGAACATTAATTCGAAAAAAACAATTTGACAAAGTTATAAAAGCTTTTGATCAATCTCTTGAACAAGCTTTATTGTCGATTAAAGACGGAAATATTTACACATTCACTGAAATAATTGATAATATTTCCGCCTTACTTATAGATTTAGAATTATTTGATGAAAATTTTGGTTTTTCAGATCGATATTTATCAAAAACTGCATTATTACTTCCCGATTCTTTTAAAAAGATGTTTTTAAGTAAAAATTCACTTTCATCCCATCTTATGTATTGTGGAACTTATGTTAATTTATCAAAAGTTTCTTTTATCGATTATATATCTGTTTGGATTTATTTCAATTGGAAATTTCTTATATCTAAATTTCCTCAAATAGATATAATTTTTAATTTTTTTTATTCAGCATATTTTATTTCATACCCTCGAAAAACTGTTAAATTATTAATTCCTACCGCAAATTTTGCTACATATTCTAATGATTATTCTATTTGGAAAGAATTAATGTATCCACCAACTAATTTTTTTACTTGTTTAGATTCTCCTGATCAATTTACATGGTGGAATATTAAAGCTTTAATTAATTTTAAATGGGAAACTTATGGGAAACGTTATTATTACATGATATGGGTTACTTATTCAATATTTATGTTATGTTTTATTTTCATTGCAACTATACCAGGAGATTCAATATCTTGGACTCATTATCAAATTTTTCGAATAATATCAATTACTCTTGGTTTCTTTTTTCTCACTTTTGAAATTCGTCAATTCTTATATAA